TAAGTTAGCTGCACTGTAGCTACTTAACGTTACCGTATTATTGCCGTTATTATAACAATGAGATAAGTACAGCACATGTTATGAAAAATAGAATTTAAAGACCGTTTAAAGTGAATTCAGTCATTTTTTTCTAAACACATTAAATAGGTCATAATGTATTTCTCAACAATGTGTAAAAAGCATTTCAACCATTTTGACACCTAATTTCATGAACCTATCGTTATTTTTAATCATTTCAAACTGTCTGGGTGGTTAACACTTCTTTAGTCTGACAAACTCAAAACACATTTATTTTGACTTTACACAGACTTTAAACTAGTTAGATGTTTTCGCGATAGCGTAGCTAACGTACATGACAACCACAATTACCACAGCTAACACTAGTCTCAACGTAGCAACTATAAGCCATGGTAACTTTTTCAGCAAATGGTGCTAAACTAGCAACGGGGACATGGACACAGAAAATATTACATTATATCAACACTGAAAATACTCGCTTACCTTGAATACACGACGAAGTTGCACCGAAGAAGCAAAACGGATCGAGCGCGAAGTGTCGGTTATTTCAAATGACCGTTGTGAGAAAATTCCAGAACAACTGCAGGGGGGAGGGGCCGAGGGGGGACCCAGAACATGGGTTACTCTTTGAAAAATAACCCAGAAACTCAAACAACACAGGAATTGGGTCAAAATATTAGCCCTATAACCCAGAAAATGGGTAATCTCTGAAAAAATAACCCATAATTTTAACCCAACACAAATAACCCAGAAAATGGGTTGAAGAAATAACCCAGGAGTTTTTAGAGTGTATACTTTGATTAAAAAAAAAACACCCTTCCAAAATATAAACGGCATTAATTTCATAGAATGACCCACACTTTTTTTTTTCTTGTGTGTGTGTGTACTGGCAGATGAAATATGAAGAATGAAATTTATGACTTCATGTTTTGTACCATCACCATTGTGTGTGTGTGTTTGTGTGAGAGAGAGAGAGAGAGAGAGAGAGAGAGAGAGCTTAGCAGAGCTTAGTTTAAATCAGCAGCTGTTAAGCAACAGGGTGCCAAGATAACACACCTCTCTAATTTCCCTCTGCACTCTTTTTCTATCTCCACCTTTTTTTATTATTATTTTCTACGGCTCCATAATTCATCAAAATCTCCTTTTGTCCCACACTCTCCCTTCTCATTCCCTCTCTCTCTCTCTCTCTCTCTCTCTCTCTCTCTCTCTCTCTCTCTCTCTCTCTCTCTCTCTCTCTCTCTCTCTCTCTCTTTATTTATCTTCTTTGTGCTTGACTGATTATGCAGAACCGTGGCCTTTCCCAGTAGAGTGACTGAAGGCGTCATTAGCATCCTGCTGATCTGAAAGCAGTGAGACAGAACAGGAGGGTTGGAATTGAATATTTGAAAGATTTGATCTTCTGAATTAAGCAGTAAGCACTTTGTTGACCTGAGAACGTGTGTGACTGATTGTATCATGTCACTGGACTTGCATATACAAACCCTGAAAGATGCCGACCGCCCTGGGGTGTCTAAAACCATCTCATAATGGTAAAAAACATTCAGTTTAGTGTCTCCTGCCAATCTGAGGTCTGTTAGAGTGGCTGTCAGCAGGACTGTGATGTTAGAAAACACCAGGAATCTCCTAACCCAAACACTAGCTATGTTCCCATCCAAAGTTGCAAATTTAACTTATGCATATAATTGGAATATCGCATAAAACATTTGCGAATAAAGCACCGTTTCCAACCAGTCAGTCAAAGAGAACAAAATAGTCACTTTCTGACTGGCGATAAAAAGTTGATGCAGTAGGAGAAGCCACAATAATAGCCTAATAATGTTTGTGTATATAATATAATATAATACTCCTCAGAGTCTTTTTTGATGCACATCACATCTTTTTTATGTGCATTTTTAGAATTTATCTTGGCGTTTCCATCCAGCAGTTTTTTATGCGGTATCCCAAACCGCGCATATAAATAGGTGGATGGAAACGTAGCTACTGACTCTCAGTTTGTCTTTTGTTTGTGTGTTAGTACAGCTACCTTGATGGGGTTGGTACGATATTTATGAAGTCAGGCTAATCTCAAGAACCCCTGGAAAACCGTTCTCACGGTTATTTTACTCAAGATCTAAACGACATAACTACCCGTTATAGTCCATTGCAATGAGCTGTTAGAAGTACACTAAGGTGTGAGTCTCGAAGTGTCCCGTTCAAACAGCAACTTACAGTAGTGTTTCGAATACTGTCTGTATGAATGTGCAACGCGAGTCGAGCCCATATAGTCTTACTAGTAACCAGAGCCACAGTGACCAAAGTAATACCAAAGTAATGTCAAAGATGGTGTTGCCATCAAACTAAAAAGTCGTATAGGCCTACCTTTTGATATGACGAGTCCAATCGAACTCGCAGTTCATCCCTTAAATCTTCATTAACCTACTGCAGCTTTTATATCTGGGTGGAGAGCGGAGCATTTGAGTAATGCATAAAGGCCAATTCACTCCGCACAGACAGACACCAGAACAGACACGTTTGTTGGGTTTTGTTGGATCAGTGTGTTATGCCTTAAATCAGCCACTATTATCCCAGTCCCAAAAAGGCTTGATGTAGACAGTCTGAGTTACCCCTGTCGGCGTCTGTTGCCATTGGTCAGGGTTTGATTTCACCTGACTGACCATGTTCAGTCAGTGTCTGTTGGGGCAGTGTGAACATGACAGTTATTTTTCATAAGATTTTAAATCCAACGGCAGACTTGTTTGTCTGTGCAGTGTGAATTGGCCTTAAAACACAAAACTGATGGGAGCAGCTCCGGTGGAACAGAGACTGGATCTAGAACCTTTAGATGACACACCGCTCTTATCTCCATCGCAACTAGTTGTCCAGTTTGGTTGCGTTCACACAGCGCAAGTTTTCTGAGAATGCGGTTGCGAGTCCTGATAATGTACGGGTGTTATGAGTTCGGTTATGGAATGTGGTTGTCACTCCCGTAACTGAACCGTGTGTGAACGTAACCGAATTAAGCACTTGAATACGGGACTGACAACCATTTTGCTGCTGTGAACGTGGCCTAAGATATATAACAGGGACAGTAAAGACATAATGTACAAAGGGTTAATGTTTTAAATGCTTATAAAATGCTTTTTCAAAGAATCCTGAAAATATGTATCGTGTTTTTTTCTTAAAACATTGCTGACATCGATAATAATATATAAGAACCATTTCTTGAGCACCAAAGCAACATATTAGAATGGTTTCTGAAAGATCTGAAGACTTGAGTAATGGCTGCTGAAAATTCAGCTTTGATCACAGGAATAATTACATTTAAAAAATATAAACATAGAATGGCTATTTTAAATTGTAAAAATAATCACTGCATTTTTTTTAATGCTGCCTTGGTGAGCATAAATAACTTCTACCCCTAAACTTTTGAATGGTAGTGTATATTTTGACTTTGGTTGGTGTAGTTTATTACATGGCTCACTTGAATATTCTGATTTCTGATCTAAATGTTTCCTATGTAAATGTTTTCTACTTTGTGTTGAAGCTAAGATAAAGCTTGGTACATGCATTAGTCCAGACACACCCTTGTTGGATCAAAGAGGGAAGGGTCATCTTTGCACTCTGGGTCCCCATAAGGCATGCGAGTTGTGAGAAAGTGAAAAAAATGGAAAATGAAATGAGAGAGTTGAAAATATGGTCTGTTTAGCTTTCTACAGTCACACGTTGTGTGTAATAATAAATATATAATGTGTGTAGTAATATTACATGTAATAGTGAATGTCTCTTGATAATGGTGTCTCCTACTGATAGTGAAAGTGAATCTGGCTGTCATTCATATGCATCTTTGCATGGTTTGTGACTCATCTGGTAGTTGTTCAGCGAAGTTCATGGTTTATCCATTCACCCAACCCTGACTCAGCATGAAAAGCCTAATACATGCTTACAGGCATGCTGAGTCGAGTGTTTTTGTTGAGTCCCAGTTGTTGTGACAGTACAGCAGTTACTTTACTGTCCACTAGAGGGCGACGATCGCCTTACACCCTCACACCTCTATTCTATTGAGGTCATTACAGCATTCCCTTGATTATAGTGTTTACTCTATATCTAGAGAAAATATGATTTCATTGCACTGCTTTGAAACAATGTTGATCTCGAAGTCAAATTACCATGTTTTGTTGATCTGTGTGTGCTAATGTGCATGTATATGTGCTTGATGCAGTGTAGTATTACTTATAGATAATACAGAAGTATTTTGAGTCATTTTAATAAAGCCAGTAATCGACATCATTTTCATTAGAAAATACAGCGGAAGGTACAGCAGGGGTTGTTACGGCAATGATGGGGGGGGGGGTGAAAACTGATAGTGGGAGATCTAGAGAGGGTTGCTATAGCAACTATGCCAGTCTTTGAGACAGAGCTGAGGTTTCCATAACAACTACATCACACCCTCTCAGAAGGTATCCTTGAAATAATAATGTCTGACTTTACACAGAGATTACCTCTCAAGGTATCTGACAGAGCAGCGTGTTTAAAGATAATGGGGAAAACTGGCATATTTTTCTTGAATATTCCAGACTTTTGCAGTGTCAAATGCAGATTTGAAGGTGTCATATCACAACCCTATTTAAAGGAAAGATTTGAGGGTTGCCATGGTGATGTGAGATAAAGAGTAATAGGGTGAGAGAAATGAATATCATACACCGGGTTACATAAGTGGAAGCGAAATCAATCATCATGACAACCTGTGATGTGCGTCATTCTTCGGTTCACACCTCAATTGAATCAAAACCTAATAGTGTTGATAAGACGCATCAAACCCAACAAGTCAATCTTAAAATTTTGTTGTGCTTTGTCAGCATCGTGTAATATATGTGATGTTCTGTATGTTTGGACATGTTGATGAGGACATGGCACACCGGTTGAGTCCTCATTGGCTGCTGTATCATGTAACTGTGTGTGTGTGTGTGTGTGTGTGTGTGTGTGTGTGTGTGTGTGTGTTACAGCAGATATGGAGCAGGTATCAGATGATGAGCTGGATCATGCTGCTGAAGAAGACAGTGATAAGGAGGATCAGGATCTGGACAAGATGTTTGGCGCCTGGTTGGGAGAACTGGACAAACTCACACAGGTGACACTCTCACACTCAGTGTGACATTGTGATGTATTATATCTTTAATATGATGTATTATCTTCACTTTGTGGGCTTTTCTCTGAAATTATTTATATATGCAATTTATTTGAATAATGTAATACTTTTTTTGTCGGTATAGGTCAATATTGGATATTTATTTGTACATGCTCGTTTCCCCTATTTTTACATTTAGACATTACATTCCTGTCATTGAATGGAGTGGGGTTTTTTTTTTTTTCTTCAACTAGGGAGTAGAGTAGACTGTCAAGGGGGCCTGAAGATGAATTAAATGATTTAAAATAAGACAAAACAAGCATCAAAATAAGCTGAACCAACTAAAAATCAGATTATTTAAATTCATCCCCTCAAAGTGATTAAAAAAAAGATTAGTTTTAGACATGGGCAAGCCATGTAAATTAATAAAAACATAGGCTTTAAGTGCATTGGCATTTTAATATAATTTATGAATTGACAGTTTGCTGCTTAAGGAGTCAAGTCACCTTTATTTATATAGCCCTTTTTACAATACAGATTGCTTGAAAGTTCAAAGCAGCTTTACAGTGATAACAGGAAAATAATGCAACAAAAGTTTGTTTCGGCTGTAGAGCAGATCTAGAAGGAAATAGTCCCATAGGCTGGCTTAAATAAGTTGATGGTTATGGTTAAGTGAAAAATGTATTAATTTAGTTCATTTATCTATACAGCCGCTCAGGAGAAAACCGTGATGTCATCGTCCAACTCAGTTCAGGAGGAGAGCAATAGAAGCAATCAAACCAACAATAGGGCAATCAAGTGCTGTGACCAGTCCCAGTTAGTCTAGCACAGTACACACAGCAAGGATTGTAATAGAACACTATTTTAATGGTTTATTTAATTTATTTAAACAAAATAGTTTATAATTTAATTAGGGGTTAGTGGTTATAACATAAAAGTCATTTTTGACCAGAATTTAGTATTCTTTTACAATCCCTAATAAATTGACAGCCTTAATTCAGATACTTATATTTCATTTATTTTAATGTATGGATTTATTGTATTGATGATTTATATCCATGATTTAACTGTCTCTTCTTACCTAATCCCCCCCACCCCCCCCCCCCCCCCCCCCCCCCCCCCCTTCTCTTTCTCTCTAATGTTAGAGTTTGGATGATGGGCGTCCTGAGAAAGTGCAAAAAGCTCCTCTCAGACAGGAAACAAACCTTGCCAATTTCTCCTACCGTTTCTCTATGTACAACATCAATGGTTAGACTACACACAGACACACACACCACCTCTATTTACTCAACATTCTTTATCACTCACAATGCCTTCTGGTATATCTGTGGTGTTTTGGCATTCTGCAATCTTCATGGATTATCATAAAACCACCATCATAACAGCAAAATGTTTCATATCATTCTAATATGCTGATTTGGTGCTCAGGAAATATTTAAAAAATCTAAATCTTTTGTAACATCCTTGCTGAATTGAAGTATTAATTTCATGCAAAACAACAAAAAAAATCTTACTGACCCCAAATGTTTGAACATTAGTATATGTATGAATCCAAATTGTCCTCTATCTATCCATGTAGAAGCCATTAACCAGGGTGAGACGGTGGACCTGGACGCTCTCATGGCTGACCTGTGTTCAATAGAACAAGAGCTCAGCAAACCCATGAGCAAGACCTCAGACGCCAAATCTAGACAGAAACCGACAGGCCGCTCGGCCAGCACCAAACACACCGGAGGGGGCAGCAGCGGAGGAAGCACCAGCAGCAGCACCCGAGCTTCTCCCGCCTCCACCGTACGCGGTGGCAGCGGGCCGTCACGGCCCCTGGCCTCCAACTTTTCCCTGGATGACATCACTGCTCAGCTAGAAAAGGCATCCCTGAGCATGGACGAGGCAGCAAAGCAGACTTCTGAATCTTCCTCATCGTCCTCCTCCTCATATTCATCTGCCACTCTCTCACACCCGCCTTCTAACTCACATCATCGCCGTACAGGATCGGTTGGTACGGTCAGCGACCAGGAAGTGCGCTCGATTGGTCATTCCTCCAGGTCAAGCGTCAACTCTGCCTCGGCATCCAGCATGGACTCTCTGGATATCCGAGGGCAGGAGAATGAGGCACAGTCACAGAATCAGAGCCAAAGCCAGACTAGCACAGAGGTAACACACACAAACATGATTTTTCATTTTGAATTATTTCATAGCTAGCACTTAGACTGGACAGTAAACATGACAGCTTGTCCATAGAAGACCAAGAGGTATAGAAGAGCTTCTCACTGTGAGAACCTCAGAGAGAAATTTCAGCAGAGTGAGATGAAAACTGAAAGCAGATGTGAGGGGCTTAAATCTGAAGCACAACACCATAAAATAAATATCCACAAAAGAAAGGGATAGAGAGGGACTGACATTGTCAGTCAGCACAGGGATAATGGTATAAATCATGACTGGTCCCTTTACCACATGCAGTGTAGCCTAATCTCACAACTCCAGTTTAGAGATTCCAAGTACAAAGTCAACATGAATGTTGTCGATGGCTCAGAATCCATTTAACATTTTCTTTTCTTCTTTATTACATTTATTTTCAGATCTAGGTGCATTCAGTACATCAAACATCATTACTTGAAGAACCCAAAGAACAGTGATGCTAAGGCTAGCTAATAAAACTACTGAATGCACCTTTAATTATTTAAAAAATACATTAAATAATTTATACATATAGCAATTTATACAACAATGACTTTAATCACCTCTTCTATGATGAGAATTTTTGTTTTCTGAGCTAAAATTCATTTTGATATTTTTGTGTAAATGGGGTCACAAATTTCAAAGTGATTCAACTATCCTGGTGATATAATAAAGAAAAGGTCTCATTTGAAGATTAAAATGAAAGATTGAAATCAGTTTTCTAGTAGTTTAACAGTCTTTTTGAAATATTTGTTTGGGAAAAAATATTTGAACAACTGCTTTTTGGAAAAATATTTCAGAAGGCTTTTTTTAATTAAAGCTTACAATGACTAATATATTTTTCATGTAATAACACAGATGAATCATTGAAAATAAGAGCGCATCAAACTAAATAGGGTCAATTTGGAATTCATGTTGACTTTAATACTTAGTTTAGTACAAAGATTTGCCAGTAATTATTTAGGAGTTTCTTAATGTGGATGTTAGAGTGTATATGTGGGCGTTTAAGAGATTCATTCTATTTTGAATAAATGTCTTCCTGTCAGTCTAATTGCTACCAAAAAACAAAGAGTCATTGACCATTTAAAATGTTTATCCTGTTATTCACGAAACCGTTTAGAACAAAGAGGGTCTCTTTACTTGGACTGTCAACATTCCCTGTGACCCAGACACACACACAGTTCTATTCATAGCAGTTGTTTGTTCTTTTGTTGAGGGCAAAGTCTGTATTGTGGTTTTGGGAAATGTGATGATCGAGGTTTCACTGAATTCACCATGGAATCATTAAAGCTGAGTCATCTCTTGGCTGCCTGCATACTTCTCACACACTCATATACAACCAATTTCTCACAAGCACGCACACTAGTTCTTCAGTACTGCTGTCAGAACATGGCAAGGAAATCCGATAAAACAGAGATGTTATTACGGCACTATTCTAACCACAGCATTGCTCATCCGCACAAGGATGTACAGACCCTGACACTTTACTAAACAATAAATACATACTGCGGTTTTAGATGTACTGTAAACTAGCGCTGTTTCACAGATGGAACAATGTGATTTCATGTCTGCGTGTGAAAGAGAATGCGTGCACAAATCCTCCCGTCGCAGTCTTGCATGACAATATCACGTGACAAACATTGTGCTGTACATGGTCACTGTAAACATTACAGTGTGACAGTAACACCTGCTTTGCTACATGACTACTCTAACTCATTTAAATGCATGATGTGTTTGTTTTGGTAACATATTTGTTGTTGTACTGTATGCTTACACTAAAAAAAGTTATGTAGGAGCAACTGATGAGATGGCCTCTGTAATGTCTTCTATATTAATATGAAACAAGGGTTTTCAACCACTTTTCTGTGGACCCATAGGCTCCGTGAAAAGCTACAGCAGTGAAAATATACAGTAGGCCTATAAAAAGCATATTTTCACTCTTAGAATTAAAGGTTCTGTCAGGCATAATTAATTTTGTTTTCGATTTTTACTTTTATAAAACCGCTTGTAAGCATCATTTATTTTACATTTTCAATAATTTCAATACAAACATGAAAGTATTATGCCATAATTGAAGACAATTAAGATATTTCTCATTATATAGAACATTTTCGGCATAAAATGGTTCTTAAAATTGAGCCAAGAACTCTAGGGTTCTATATAGAAGTCCATTGAACCTTTTTTTTCTAAGAGTGTATATATTTGGGGTCTCTAGGTTGCTTGAGTGGGATGGGGTACAGGGTCCATTGGTCTGTAAAGGTTGAAAACCCATGGTTTGAATGAAACAATGGAGGAGAGGATTAAGGATTGTTAAAGAGAAGCCACAGAGTTAAAGTGCCCCTATTCTGCTTCTTTTCTTTTTTAATATTACCTTTCATGCAGTGTGTAATATAGCTAGCTTTTTGTGAATGTAAAAGGTCTGCAAAGTTTAAAGATCAAAGTGCACATCAAATAAAGTTATTGTCTACTAAAAGCAAGAATTAATTCTGAACTGCCAAAAACGAGTCGTCAGCGATTCCAGTCTCACTTCCTGTAACAAATGTGCATAATACCAGCCTATGGTCTTTATTGGCTGCCGACGAACGACGTCTACTTTGACCCGTCCTCAAACACTCTAGATGTAGCTGAGGCCTAGAAGAGTTTGGTTTGTGTTGTTGACATGTCAATAAGACACTGCTCTAATTGCTGCGAATCCACTTTGCATACACTTCATAAGGATGAGGACTCACGCTGGAATTGATACGGGAAAAAACGACGGCATCGTTCTTATCGCTGTGTATATAAGCACTGAGGAAGCCTCTGGAGTTAAAATTCAGATATGGTAATGGGAGTTTCGTTCCCGCCATGCGCTGCAAGCGGTAGACCAATCGCGACAGACTAGGCCAACTGACCAATCAGAGCAGAGTAGCTCTCAGAAAGGAGAGGTTTAGACAGACTGAATCTTCGAACAAACCGTTTTTAGACTCTTTGAGAAATGTGGTGATGTGCAATGTATTTTATGAGAAAATTAAAGTGTTTTTCGATCTATAAAAACCTATTTTTGATAAATAAATAAAAATACTATGGACAATATCTGAAAATAATTTTTAAAAACAAACAAAAAGCATGTTTACAGTTAAGATATGAAAATACAGTTTTATCTGATTAGGCAGAGCAGCACAGTAAATGTTAAAATACATACTGTTTCTAAAGTAATGCCAAAAGACTTGAATTATTTATGTCAAACAGTGAAACTGATGTGCTGAAATTGCTTAAAATATGTCAAAACTGTCATGACCAAATAAACTAGTATTTTTTTGCACAGCATGTGCAAGGATACCCGAGAAGGGACATGACGTAACTATCTGCGAAGTATTGATAACATGGAGCAAACTCACTCCCACCCACAGGATTTGCATTGGTAATGCATAACTAAAAGTTAATCTGCCTAGAACTGTATGCTCAGCTCACCACAAAAAGGATCATTTTGAAAACTTGCCAGTTAAATACAAGCCCATTAAGGGGATAGGTCACCCAAAAATTACAATTCTGTCATAATTTACTCACCTTCACGATACAATATTCTATCATCATTTTTGTCCATCTCACGTGTCAAGCAAGTATACAGTTGAGCTTCTGTTTACTATAATTCATGTGCTCTATGTATGTGTATGTGCTTTGATCAATGTTTATATGTGAATAAAAGCCTACATTTAATTTGTTCATTTATATATAAATCAATTCAGAAGATTTGGGCTAAACCACGTCTTTCAGTGGATGGACAAAAATGACAGAATATTAAAAAAATATCTTCATTTGTTTTTCAAAAATAAGACAAAGTCTTATGAGGATGAGTAAATGAGGACAGAATTTTCATTTTTGGGTGAACTATCCCATTAACAAAAATATCATTTTCCCCATAGACTTCCATTGTACGTCCAATACTGTAAACTGAGGCACAAGTCAAAAATGGTTTCTGTTCTAATCAACAGTATATGGAGCATATTGTCGATTAGATTGTATTAAACCCTAACATTCATAATGTTTTACCAGAGTAACAGCATATATTGACCCTTGCTTGTGCATGCATCATTTTGCATTGTCTGCTTGCATGATTAATGTGTTTATGTTTGCACCTTTTCTGTATGTGATCTCCCCCACCCCTTTTCCCAGCATGTCTTACTCCGAAGGGCCAATGGTAAAGCTACCAGACGGCATCTTGACTTCGCCTCACAGGCGGGGGAGGTGGATCAAAGGACTGTAAGTGTGTGTGTGTGTGTGTGTGTGTGTGTGTGTGTGTGTGTGTGTGTGTGTGCGTGCATGTGTGTGTACGACTGGTGTAAAGGATATGTGTAAACAGTATGTTCTTTCTCAAAATACTGGGTCTTCTTTGCACACCTGTGATAATTCCAGGATTCATAATGTCATCCTTTTGGTTGAAAAAAAGGACCTCAGGAGCGGTGTGTTCTCGGCATAAGAGAACTGTGATCACAATATTGTGTTGAGAACTAAAAGAAGTACACAAGACAGTTCTTCTTTTATATATTTTTTTCCCTCCACACTTTTATATGCCACCTCTTTCTGATTTTGAATAATCGATGCTCAGGTGCTTCCACACTTTCTATGCTTTACCACAATCAAGTATGTATTTCTATCATTTTTGAAATCACAGTAATCATTGCACTGATTAATCTCTGTTTGTCTTTTCCCTGCACCCTGAAGCACTCGTATTTGGACAGGGAGACCTCTCTGATTCTGAAAAACATTGCAGGAAAACCCTCTCACCTGCTGACCAAGGTGACACCTTCTTTCGCTTGCTGCTTTTTCCTTTCTCTGCATGTTTTGGGTTTATGTGTCCACAGAAAGCCTTTTAACCTCAGACTTCTAGCCAGATTTGACACTTTGCTTCACCCACACTGCCTTCTTACATTTTTAAAGTGTTGTATCTTCTGTTTTCTTTTTTCTCTTTGCTGCCATCTTCATATATGTGTGCCATTTAAAGTTGAAATCAGATCATCCAGCCCAAAGTGTCTATAATGTTATTATACATTATATAATAACACCCTACATTACCTTTCTGTGACAAGAAAACATGGCTTTTGTATTATTTATTGTATTTTTTTATTTTTTTATTTTTTTTAGTCAGGTTTCCTAGTTTTAATGGTCAGCGTTCCCAGATTGTGTTTTTCATTACTAATGTAAAGTGATAAAGTTACAAAGATTCTTTGTTCCTCGTTTAAGAAATGTGTATCTTAAATGCAACAGTTAGTGGTTGGCAGGATATTTTGTAGAGAGGTGTTTGTTTTTTTGAATGCCTTGTTATCACTGCTTCCCTGAAGAAATGGCTGCTCATCACTTACATAATTTCATTTTAGGACATTTCAAGAGATCATATATAAAACTGAAACAGATTTACCTATTATTTTGTTTTTATGCCACAATTTGTGTGTGGAATTGGTGTTTGTTGTACAAGTAGTATAGTAACACTAGTGACTCCCTTAATATATATTGGATCCCAGACAGTTTTACTTTCCTTGTGATAAAACAGTATTATTTTAAAATGGATACTTCACCCAAAAAATGAAAATTCTATCACCCTTAAGTCATTCCACACCTGTATGACTTTCTTTCTGCAGAACACAAAAGATATTTTGCAGAGTACTGGTAGCCAAACTGTTTTTTTGGGGAACAAAACTGATACATTTCTCAAAATAATGTTTTTTTGTTCCATACAAGAACGAAAATCATACAGGTTTTTAACTACATGGGTGAGTAAGTAATGACAGATTTTTTGGGGGGTCAGCTATCTCTTTAATAAATCTGTTAGCCATGCAGCATAGACATTCTTGCATTTTTTACATTTACATTTAAACATTAATTAGCTAACAAAAGGCTTTGTATTGACTAACTTTTTTAATTTATTCCTGAGAACAGATATTATGCATGTGATTGAAGTTCCCATGTTGTCATACCAATGTAGATGCTTTTTCTGGTGCAGGGAATGGTGGGTTAAGAGCATTTTGTTATGTCGAGTTACTAAATAATACAAATTTAAATCTGACGCCACTTTGATTTTTCAAGGATGTGTGAGCTTTTGTTAAACCATGAAGCTTGTGCAACGGCCCAATTGATACGGTTTATTATTTTCTGAAGTTCAATGTACTGCATTACAACATTATTTCTGATACTTGTAGTATAGTAAGTGTATTAAAGTTTACAACATGTATATAAAATGTTAACAGGAATAGCTATTTTGAATTCATTTTCTTAGTATTTTATAAGTTAAGTTTCTTAGTATGCAAAATATGATCTCTAGAATTTCTAGTGACCTAGAATAGTGCAGAATTTGTTGTTTACATTAGATTTTTGGTTTTAAGTGGCATTAAATAATGAGTTTGTCCTTTTAATTAGGGTTAGTTTTTTCTTTAAATAAATTTGTGTCATCTAAGTTTTATTTATTTGTCATGACATGTACGGAGACAGAATTTCAAGAACGGAGATGTTCTTGAAATCCCACTCTGGTTTCCTCATGATTTCATCAGATTTCTCAAACAGTGTTTTTGCTTTCCTGTTCACTCTGGATGGACTCACTGCAGACTGCTGAGACACAGACTCTTTGCTCAAACACAGACAGAGAGAGAACTGGAGAAAGGAAAAAAGACTTCAAAGGGAATTTAATGCTTTTTATCGAAGCCTGAGCCTCGGCTGTTTCCAGATCTCTCCCATTTTTGTTCATTCTCTCTCTCTCTCTCTCTCTCTCTCTCTCTCTCTCTCTCTCTCTCTCTCTCTCTCTCTCTCTCTCTCTCTCTCTCTCTCTCTCTCTCTCTCTCTCTCTCTCTCTCTCTCTCTCTGCATCATAAATATGCATCTGCCGTAGACAATGATTCGAGAAAGAGAAGCTGGTCTTTCAGATCACATATACCCCTCTTTTTTCCTTCCCCACTCTCTCCTGTCTTCATTATATGCGTTTCATTGCACATTCTTTGCATATTGAAATCTTTATTTGTCTCTTTGACTTTGTATTTCTTAATCTGCCCATCTCTGTTCTGTTAGAAAAAACATGGCATAATAATAATCAAAGTTGACGTAAGGGGGTAACGCAAGTTACGCAACCTGACTTAAAATTCTTGTCCTTTCAAACCCCCTCCAAATAACTAACTTTTTTCTTTAAATAAATGGGTGAAACAATAAATACAAGGCCTAGATATCATTCATCCCCACGGTGGAGGGTGTTTTCCCACAACCACAGAAAAAGCATCAGACAACAATATCATCTGCATTTGGCCTCAAATTTATTGGCCAGTGGAAAGAAGGTCAAAGAAACAAACCTAATTGATTGGCCGCTGAGAAGCATATGTACATTCTGATTGGAGAAGTGGTACGAGAGGGTCTTTTATAGCTGATGGCGGCTTGGTCTGCTGGTGAGAGAGATTAAACCCTGTGATTGGGCACGCTACCAGAGACATGCAGCTGTTTCACAGAGAGAAAAGAGAGGGGGAGGTCTCAATCCCCTCCCAATGCTGAGCAGTAGAGTTGTGTGTAAGGTACTCTGGGTGTAGAGATGTGTGAGGGGAAGCGTTTTCATCTGTGTGTCGCGACCGATGCTCATTTCAGCTTCATGTTTCTTCAGATTGAGCTGCAGTAGACATTTTTTTTTCGGATTATTTAAATTATTTTCATCAGGCCATTCCTGCGGCAGCTTTGAAAGTTCAGCTGGAAGTACCTGTCAGGCCTTTCAAATAGTCTTGTTATAGCTGCTGTTTGTGATGATGAGAACATTGGTTAATGGAGTTCTGAAACATTCAAGCTGGTGCAGCGGTGAATCTGTGTATCAATTGGTATTGAATGAATGAGCAGCCATTTCTCTAAGGAATCGTTAACATGTGCAGAGTGATCGTGTAACTTCCTTTTGTGTCTCTGGTTGCTGGTTGATCAGATACAGAGACTTTGCAATTGTTTCAGGATTGTTTTAAATGGTCAGAAATGGATGTGATGACTGCATGTTGGAGAGGGCAGGTAAGTGAGAATGTGTGTGAAACAGAAATCCACCTGTCTGATTTCATACCTCAGTAGTGGATAAGTAATGCTCTGCGAGTGTTTCTTTGTTAACATGTCATTGTGTCATCCACAGGAGGAGCAAGCTGCCAAAGCGAAGGCTGAGAAAATCCGTGTGGCACTAGAGAAAATTAAAGAAGCCCAGGTGAAAAAGGTGAGTCAAAATCACTGTGAATCTCTGAATCCCCCCAAGGGTCAGTAAACCTCGTCTGTGTACTGCATGATGCAGCCCTTCACACGCTCTAGCGGGATAAGTCATAAAACGAATGCACAGTAGAAAATAGGTCACCCATGTGTCTGAGAGACTCTGTCTGCTTAGAATGGAAGATGCACAAACAAGTTCTTCATAGCTGTCGGTGAAGGTTTTACTTCAAATTACATGTTTAAAAATGTTCTTTGTGGTTTTTTATTGTCGTGTAAACTGGTCTGAGTTTTGGGTTTATTTGTAAGAGACGATGTATCCTATTACTCCATTCATCAGAAAAGGGCTGTCAAAATAAATGCTACCAGGCACATACTAATACCAAGTGAATGAATTAGATACAGTACAGTGATTGGGCTTCTTTAGCCAAGACAGATGACTGTTTCCATTCATTATGTGTAAAAAGAAAACTGACAGCAATGGTGCTTTGAGACCGATACAGAATGATACTGCGTCAGTATCGGGGGGGATGTCGTCAATAAGAAATATTAAAAATTCTACTTGTGGAGTCCATGTGAGCTAAAATTTTCACTCAAATAGCTGATAATATAATATGTAAATTGTAATGAAAGAAAAATTCAATTTAAGGAAAAAAAGAAATATTCTCACTGCATGTAGTGTTTTTTGGCCTGAGCACAGTCTTGAAAAAAATTTATATTCAGTTTAGTCAAAACATAAGTCATATAAACTTGCAATTGAAAAGTGGTTATTCCGTTAAATTGAACATGAGAAAATTTGTGATTATTCTGCTGAAATTCTGTCGTTTCCTGCATTCATCTGGGTTTCAGTTTGCTACGGTTCTGAGTTTGTACGCAATCGTTTCCTTCAATTGAAACATTGCACAAAGTGATAGATTGTTTGTGCTGAGGTCAAAGAATGAGGCAGGCCAGGTCCAGATGTGTGATATAGTGTGGGTCTGTGTGTTTGTTTGAAAAGTGTGTAAGGGAAGAGAGCATAAATTAGCAGAGTGTTTTCTGCTGAGACCAGGCTTGGAAAAGTGCCTCATACTCCCTGATATTCTTATGACTTTCAGGACCTCTGGCAGTGCTGTCTGTTAATGTGCCTATGCAACACTTTCTCTCACTCCCCACTTTTTGTTCCTCACTCTCTGGAAGAAAGAAAATGGGGTGTGAAATAGAGAGGGATGAAAGCCAGTTGTCAATTCTGTTCCCAGTTAGTCTTTATTAAAACCACGTTTCTGAAGATCCACATCATATTCCAATTCAGTTCATAAATCTTTACACAAAGTCAAACATTCCAATTTGAACTACATATTTGTAACGTACTGTACTAATTATGTTTTTCTTATATACAATATCACAATAAGTGCACAAACTTTAGGTGCATGCCATTTGTTTATTTCATTATATGACTATTATATGTTTATTTCATTGAAACATTTGATCTGTCTGATTTTTTTAATTGGATATAAGTGTGTTCCATCATGTTATATCTCTGGAGAAATATTTCACAATCTATATTAGTTATGATGATATACATGCCTTGAAATATTAATGAACATATCAATATACTTTGGGTTTGCTCACATTTCCGAATCAAATTCATAATCTTATGATGATTACAGTGACAAACACTGTATTTATGTAGTACATATTACAAAATAAGATTTGTCCAAACTGATTCAAAGACAGCACGAGAGTAAAGCATGATGTAATATTTTTTTCTTAAAAAGTTCCAAAGTGACCAAAAAAATAATAATTTAAAAGAAACCGGAAATATATTATATTCAGGGTTTGTTAAATGAAGTTTTTCACTCATCAGTTAATTTACTGGTCATTCACTACTTCAAAAAGAAATTAGTATCAGTATCTAATTAGTATCTAATTACTGATACAAAAAAGAAGTATCAGTCACTGCTTGGATTTAAATATATTCATTAATTTATATATATATGTATATATATATACTGGTCGCCCATGTGTGTATATATATATATATATATATATATATATATATATATATATATATATATAATAAAATAAAATTATACCCCACCACAAAATTTCATGATGATAAAATTCCCATACCCTTTTGGAGTCCGTATAGTGGTACACAAGAGTCTTGACCATGTTAAATTTGTCAGATACCGGAGTGAGAAAAGGTTGAAACCGTGGCCTTTTAAATTTAATTTTGTTTGGCTAATGTTGAAGGCTCCTCCTAGGGAAGGGGCTCTGATGGCCATGGCATGCAGTGATGGAACATAATTTATGAATCAAAACCTGATTATATTGTAGTTTATTCAATGTAGTTATCCTTTGTCTAGATTACAGTTAGCTTGGGGATACACTCTGGCCATTTTGTCAATCAACTTGATCAAACAAACCAACCAACATGAGGTGCACCCTGGAATGTTTTTAAACGGCATTGATGGAGTTGCCATGTTTACAATCAACTTATTGGCTGCTTCTTCCACTATCCAATCCAATTCATCCATTTAAAAAATATTTATTTTTGTAAAAGTTCATACGTAGGCATAATGTGTTTATCTACAGCGCTAAAGTCAAGCATTTAAACATATGCCTTTAGATAAAAAGGTTCCCTATCAGTCGACGTTATTGGGATCACTTCAGGGAACACTATCATCTTCGAGTGTCTACAGAACAAGCCAATGAATGTTGGCATGCATGAATCGCGTCACGCGCCCCACCCCGCGGCGTGGGTATAAACAGGAAGGGGGCGAACGCACACATTGTCTTTCACTTCGGAGCCGAGAAGTTATTTGACTTCACGAGTGCTGCAAGAAGAGACTCTACAAGTTGGAAAACTCATCTCAACTCTGTTCCAGCGTTGGTGTGACGGCGCGATCAGCGGTGGCCGCAAGCATTACAGCTCACAACTGCTGTTTTCACAGCATTACACTGTGTGTGTGTGTGTGTGTGTGTGTTGGTTCGATGGGCGTTCCTGAGTTTATACTCATTACAGCCGCGGCTACCCCTGGGTGCCTCAGCGTGGAAAGAGTTTTATTTTCTCTTATTTGTTTTCAACTGAAAGAGCAACACAAGCGTGACCCTGCGTCCTTTTCAGGATGTCATTCCACTTGTGCGTTTCTGGATGCGGTCATTCCCTGGCGCCAGCAGACGGCCACAATAGTTTGCTCTCGTGTTTAGGCATTCAACACACTGAGGTAGCTTTTGTGAATAGTTTGTGTTCAAATTGCGGGAATATGACTATGGCAGCGTTAAAGGAGAACTCCGGCGCAAAATGAACCTTTGGTCTAATTACACATTGTTACCTAGTCAACCGTTATCTGAGATTTGTTTTCATGATTATCGAATGTAAATAGTTTTATCTCTACAAACAGTTTAGCCTATAAAGCTAGTATAACGCTAGTATATTGGGCATAGTGTAATGATAAATAAAAATCGCTTGTTAATACCACTAACAAGGCTCAAAATAGCCCCACACTAACACGGTAGCATAATGAGGGTCCCTACCTTCAAACCGAAGCATTGAGAACTTTGTCAGTGTCCAGACAGTTTAATAAGAAGATATTTTAAACATACAGTCAACTTCGCGTATTCAGGCAGAAGCCATCTTTGAAATACAGCCTTTACCAGTCGATCTACGAACGCCGATCCAAGCCTGCTGTTCGCGCTCACCTTATCACAACTTATAGCTCGTTCACATTCTCACCAGCGCACTTGGATCGGCGTTCGTAGATTGACTGGTAAAGGCTGTATTTCAAAGATGGATTCTGCCTGTATACGCGAAGTTGACTGTATGTTTAAAATATCTTCTTATTAAACTGTCTGTACACTTACAAAGTTCTCAATGCTTCGGTTTGAAGGTAGGGACCCTCATTATGCTACCGTGTTAGTGTGGGTCTATTTTCAGCCTTGTTAGTGGTATTAACAAGCGATTTTTATTTGTCATTACACTATGCCCAATATACTAGCGTTATACTAGCTTTATAGGCTAAACTGTTTTTAGAGATAAAACTATTTACATTCGATAATCATGAAAACAAATCTCAGATAACGGTTGACTAGGTAACAATGTGTAATTAGACCAAAGGTTCATTTTGCGCCGGAGTTCTCCTTTAAGATCAAGACTTGCTTACCTCCAGGGAGGTGCAGTCCCCTCGCCTATGCCCCGATCTAGTGCCTATTCTGGACCTCAGAATAGGCCTACTTCGGCGCTTAGCCAGGGTGATCTGAAGATTACCGTGAGGGCTTCCCCACCGAGGCAATCTCTGCGGGCCCCTCACGCCTCACAAACGCTGCCACCGCCGGAGCCTCCAAAAGAGCGTGCTGGTCCTTCTCATGGACGACCAGTCGTGTCTTTTGGGGCTCCTCCTGACGATCAGATGTCGGTCGCAGCATCGGAGGGGGAGCTTCAGTCCTCTGGAGATGAGGATTCGGCTACGTTACCCCCTTCGGGGAGTGTAGCGTTGCCCGAGTCCGATCCAGAATGGGCGGCCATGCTTTCCCGGGCCACAGAGAAGGTCGGGTTTCCGTGGAATCCTCCACCACGTCCCGAACCTTCTCGGTTGGATGATTGGTTTCTCTGGGCTTCTCAGCTCACCGCCCTGGTGCCATTATTCCCGGAGGTTCATGAGGAGCTCACTAGGATGTGAACGGCACCGTATAGTGCCAGAAGCCATCCTAGTGGCTCCTCCCTCCTCACCACCCTCGATGGCGGAGCGGCTAAGGGGTATGTGGATGTCCCGTCGGTGGAGCATTCCGTTGGGATGCAACTGTGTCCAGCGTCCGCTTCCTCCTGGATTTGACAATCCACGCCTCCCATCCAAGGCATGTAAGTTTTCATCCGGTCTCACGGGCGAAGGCTTACAGAGCCTGTGGACAGGCTGCTTCCACCCTCCATGCCATGGCTCTTCTGCAGGTCCACCAGGCCCAGGCGCTCAGGGTCATGCATGAGGGTGGCTCTGACCCAAAGCTCCTCCGGTAGCTCCGTGCGGCAACTGACCTGACGATGGAAACCGCACGTTCCGTTGGTCAGGCGATGTCCACCTTGGTGGTCCAGGAGCGCCACCTTTGGCTCAACCTGGCGGATATGAGGGACACCGATAAATATCGATTCCTGGATGCCCCTCTTCCCAGGTTGGGTTATTCGGCGACGCGGTCCAGAGCTTTGCCTGGCAGTTCTCGGTCGCCAAGAAGCAGGAATCATGTCCCGGCGGACCGCTGCTGCTCCCACCCATCGCCGAGGTCAACCTCCTGTGGCGTCCTCTGCTACCGCTAAGCCACCACAGCAGCCATCACCCAGGCCTCAGCGTGGAGCAAGCCGCAGGAAGTCGGCCTCGCCCGTCCAGGCCGCTGCCAAACCAGGAGACAAGCGGAGGTGCAAATGACCCTGAGACGGGCGACCCAGAGGTGGATCAGACTGCTCTTCAGGAGATGATCGCGCTGCTCCTTCCCCTGGTGGAGGGTCGGGTGGAGAATCTGTTGTTTCCTTTTCTTTTTATTCCGCCACTGGCAACCGGCCCCCAGCCTGTCTCGCTGGCTCATCATAACTTTCTCGGCTATGCGATTCAGTTCGCCCGGTGTCCCCCAGCCTTGGCGTCCTTCGCCAGTAGGACTGTGATCTCTGCCCTGAGCACAGGGGCATTCAGTTCACCCGTGTTCTGGCGGACAATGCCCCTGTGCTCAGGGCAGAGATCGCAGTCCTACTGGCGAAGGACGCGATCGAGCCGGTCCCTCCAGCCGATATGAAGACTGGCTTCTACAGCCCGTACTTCATTGTACCCAAGAAAGTCGGTGGGTTATGACCAATCTTGGACCTGCGTTTACCTGAACCGGTCCCTTCACAGGCTGTCATTCAAGATGCTTACGCAGAAACGCATTTGCATCTGTCCCCAAGATTGGTTTGCAGCGATCGATCGTACTTTCATGTCTCGATTCTCCCTCGACACAGACCGTTTCGTCGCTTTGCTTTTGAGGGACGGGCATATCAGTACAAAGTCTTACCCTTCGGGCTGGCCCTGTCGCCCTGTGTCTTCATGAAAGTTGCGGAGGCGGCCATTGCTCCCATGTGCGAGCGTGGTGTTCGCATTCTCAACTACCTCGACAACTGGCTCATCCTGGCCATGTCGAGAGAGCAGTTGTGCGAACACAGGGACATGGTGCTCAGTCACCTCAGCCTCCTAGGGCTTCGGGTCAACTGGGAAAAGAGCAAACTCACCACCGGGCAGAGGATCTCTTTTCTCGGTATGGAGTTGGACTCGATCAACATGACAGCACCCCTCATGGAGGCCCGTGTCCAGTCAGTGTTGAACTGCGTGAGCTCGCTCAGACTTTTTCAGAGGCTCCTGGGGCATATGGCATCTGCAGCCGCGGTAACGCTGCTCAGATTGCTTCATATGAGGCCGCTCCAACACTGGCTTCACGATCGAGTCCCGAGATGGGCGTGGCAGAGCGGCTTGTGCAGGGTCCAAATTACCCCGCACTGTCACCAAACTCTCAGCTTGTGGTTGGACCCTTTGTTCCTGCTGGCAGGTGTTCCCCTAGAACAAGTGTCCAGGCATTCTGTGGTCTCCACGGATGCCTCTGCCACTGGCTGGGGGGCCACGTACAACAGGCATCCAGCTTCAGGTCTGTGGACGGGGCCTCAACTGCATTGGCACATTAACTGCCTCGAGATGTTAGCAGTACATCTTGCGCTGGGCCGCTTCAAAACGCCGCTACTAGGCAAGCTCTCACGGTGCTACCGGTGCAGGTGCTACCGGGAGAATGGCGACTCCATCCCCAGGTGGTCCAGCTGATATGGAGGCTCTTCGGGACCGCACAGGTAGATCTGTTTGCCACCCCGGACACGTCCCACTGCCAGTAGTTCTTCTCCCTGACCAAGGGCACCCTCGGCACGGACGCACTGGCACACAGCTGGCCCCGGGACCTACGCAAGTATGCGTTTCCCCCAGTGAGCCTTCTTGCACAGACCCTGTGCAAAGTCAGGGAGGACGAGGAGCAGGTCTTGCTTGTTGCACCGTATTGGCCCAACCGGACCTGGTTCCCAGAACTAGTGCTCCTCGCGACAGCCCCTCCCTGGCCCATTCCTCTGAGAGAAGACCTGATCTCTCAGAGACGGGGCACCCGCGTCCAGACCTCTGGAAACTCCATGTCTGGTCCCTGGACAGGACACTGAGGTTCTAGGTGACCTACCCCAACCTGTTAGTTGAGTGGTGTTCTTCCCACCAGGAGAACCCCCGAACTTGCTCAATCAGATCTGTGCTTTCCTCTCTGCAAGATGGGTTGGAGCGAAGGCTGTCTCCCTCCACCCTTAAAGTGTATGTTGCCGCTATCGCCGCACATCATGATGCAGTTGAGGGTAAGTCGCTGGGAAAGCACGACCTGATCGTCAGGTTCCTGAGGGGGGCGAGGAGATTAAATCCACTCTCTATACCCTCTTGGGATTTGTCTCTGGTCTGTCAAACTTCAGAGACCACCCTTTGCAATCAGCTGAGTAAAAAATTCTGTCCTGTAAAACAGTACTCCTGGTTGCATTGGCCTCCATCAAGAGAGTAGGGGACCTGCATGCATTTTCGGTCAACGAATCGTGCCTAGAATTCGGCCCGGCTAACTCTCACGTGATCCTGAGACCTTGGCCCGGATACGTGCCCAAGGTTCCTACCACTCCCCTCCAGGACCAGGTGGTGAACCTGCAAGCGCTGCCTTCGGAGGAGGCAGACCCAGCCCTGGCTTTTCTCTGTCCCGTTCACGTTCTGCGTCTATACGTGGACAGAACGTAAAGCCTCAGGACCTCAGATCAGCTCTTTGTCTGTTACGGAGGCCAGCAGAAGGGAAAGGCTGTCTCCAAGCAGAGGATGGCCCACTGGATAGTGGATGCCATCGCCTTGGCTTACGAAGCCCAAGGTGTGCCCTGCCCGCCCAGGTTGAGAGCCCACTCCACAAGGAGTGTCGCTTCTTCTTCGGCGCTGGCACACGGCGCCTCGCTGACAGACATCTGTAGAGCTGCAGGCTGGGCGACACCTAACACGTTCGCTAGGTTTTATAGCCTACGTGTTGAGCCTGTTTCTTCCTGTGTGCTCGCTTCAACCAGCCGGTAACACCGAAGTTCCCGTTCTAGTGTCGGCTTGCTGCGCCACTCCCCTCCACATGTAGTGGATACGTGTGCTTTTTTGCTCCAGTCGAGTTCCACACTTAGGCGAACCCTGTTGGTTCCCTCCGCACCCCTTCGGGCAGTCAGACGTTGCGGAGCATCTGACACCAGGCCTAGTGCTCGTATGCTTGTGTAACTTGTGCTAGGCTGGGTTCCATATGTGGTGATATGTCTGCCGTCAATGTCCGGTGTTGCATCCCCCTTCTCAGGCTGGAGCCACCCCAGTGACATTCCATATGTTGCACTGCCCCTAACCGGCCAGTCCATATGTGTATTCTCCACATGTTAACTTCCTTCGGGCAGGATGTGGCTCCCGCAGCGTCCCTCTCCCCTAGAAAGGCACGCTTTCCCAGTGTTATCCAAGAGTTCCACTGTGTGGGTTATAACGGAAAAGCAGTTGAACTCCCTCTACGCAGGCCTCCCGCCCCAGTCAATTGGGGGTCTGAGAGTCTTGCAAAGGGCGCTGGATGTGGCAGCAACCGTGGCGTTTTCCATAGGGATCCCAATTATGTCGTCACGTCAACGTAACGATAAAGCAAAAATTCAGTCAAGTATGTCTAAATGTTTGACTTGTTCTAGTGTATAATCTGTGAAATGTGGCTTACTATGAAAATGTATGTGTAAATATAGTCAATATTAAATGTACTTGAATTAACCAAACTGGGCTTTCCTTTTAATCTTCTTCATCAGCTGGTGATACGTGTACACATGTCAGATGAGAGTTCAAAGACCATGATGGTGGACGAGAGGCAGACAGTCAGGCAGGTGCTGGATAGTCTGCTGGATAAATCTCACTGCGGTTACAGTCCAGACTGGGCCCTGGTCGAGACCATCCCTGAGCTACAGATGGGTGAGGATGCTTGCACATGCTTAGATGACCTGTGAACCTGAGGGACAATATGTAGATTATTATATACTTTATCACTCTCACTCCCTCTTACTTTGTCTTTTCCTCAGAGAGAATTTTTGAAGACCATGAGAACCTTGTGGAGAACTTGCTCAACTGGACCAGAGACAGTCAGAACAAACTCATGTTTATTGAGCGGATTGAAAAGTATGCACTTTTCAAAAACCCACAGGTGAAGCTCTATCTTTTGTTACATATATGCTGAAAAAAGTCTGATTAAACATTAGGCATTCTTTTTAAAATATAAATAACTCTTACCAAACCTAGACTTTTAAACAGTAGTGTATATGCACACATTCTTAGATAAAGTCAGGCTTAAAGGCAGGGTAGGCAGTTTGTTTCTAAAACACTTTTTCCCAAATTTGTTTAAACTGTCTTTATATACCAATATATATCTAAAATGTAAGTACTCTAAAAAGGAGAGTATAAAAATCGAGTGTCTGTACTGTAGTCCTCTCAGGGCTGCAATAAACACAGCTACTTTTTCCATTCGGAACGAATGCAATGATTGGCTTGGTGACTGTCACTCTCCCTCGCTACCATGGCTACCACCCCTGCTGCTACAGGATGCGCGCACCCAGTTGACTCGCTCATTTCGAAAGAGGAGAGGCACGTACCGGCCGGAAGCTAGGAAGCCTCACAATTATGGCAGAGAAAGAGCAGTCAAAATTCCCAGTACCACCTGTACCTGCATATACAATCAGCGCAGGCAAACAAGGCAAAAAAAGGTGATGTCACTCCATGCACTGCGCTCCTCTCTGCTCGGCGCTGGTAAACGCGTCCTCCAGCTGAGCAGTCGACATCACGCGTTCATGTGTTTTGGGTTCATGTGCCTGGCTTTGGAAGGAGCCCAGAAGGGAGGGGGTGGGAGTTTTCTCTGTTGGATACTTTCAAAATCCAGCAGTTTTCTGCTAGTTTCTCAAACTTACCTACCCTGCCTTTAAAGTAATAGTAATGAGTTATGATTTTTTTTGTGATTTTTTTTTTTTTATATTCCGTCACCCTGATTCACTTGTTGCATGTTGTGTTTCTAAGAACTATTTACTTGGGAGGAAGGAGACCTCTGAGATGGCAGACAGAAACAAGGAGGCACTGCTGGAGGTGAAACATACATTATAATACAACTGCATAGTAATATGGCTAAAAATGTAGTTATAATGCAGCTGCTTTGTACAAAACATCAGATTTGAATATTTTTCCTTGTTTAACATGCAAATAAGTACATACACACGCAGTTAGTGAATGTGACCCAAAGCCTTCATCACTGTGATGTTAATTTGGAAGTGATAATTGTGATGGCTGACAGAGTTTATATCAGTCTAAATCTGTCAAGATAACATGTTTTTTAGAATGCTTACTGATGTTTTTGTATCTGTATGTCTTGAAGGAATGTTTTTGTGGAAGCTCAGTGTCTGTTCCTGAAATTGAGGGAGTGCTGTGGTTGAAGGAGGATGGTAAAAAGTCTTGGAAGAAGCGCTACTTTCTGCTGAGGGCATCTGGCATCTATTTTGTGCCGAAGGGCAAAGCCAAGGTCAGTGTTATTGTGTGTGTTTATTTAGTGTCATGTTCTCTTTAAATGGACATAGAACCTAAAGAACTCTTGAGTGGAATTTCCTGTTTATGGATTCACTGAGGATACTCTACACAAACCATATGTTGTTTGTCATCCACTTTGACATCAACCCCCATGTCTTATTTTGTTATATCATTTTAAGTTGAAAACATTAGTTACTCATTATTTGATCAAGTCTATTACAAGCATACAAATGAAACATGGGTTTTGTGTTAGTATCAAATTCTGTGACAGTTAACGACATGCCAGTTAAGATTTGTCCCTGGATATTTGATTCTGCTTTGTTGTATCTGCAGTTTATAGTATTGTATTTCTAAATGTTTGCTTTTATCATCTCAATTTCCTTCACTGTAAGCTATACAGAATAAACTGTCCAAATTAACAACAGATGGTAATAAATATAAAACAATATTAATGTTTATTTTGAACGCTCTAGGCTTCCAGGGATTTGGTGTGCTTCCTGCAGTTGGACCATGTTAATGTTTATTATGGTCAGGACTACCGAAGCAAGTACAAGGCCCCCACTGACTACTGCCTGGCCCTCAAGGTGTGTGTGCGTGTGTGATGTTATGGCTTGTTATCCTTAAGCCTGTTTAAATGGATGTGCTCTTGTTTGTTACCTTTTCCAAAATTGGATCATACTGATCCAAAACTTTTAAAAAGTAGTGCAATATTTTATTTATTATTATTATTTATCATTATATAATTTCATTATAATGTTCATATAATTTATTCAGCAGGGATGCATTGAATTGACCAGACTTGACAATAAAAACATGTACAGTATATTGTTACAAAAGTTTTCTGTTTCAAATAAATGCTGTTCTTTTGAAATTTCTATTAATCAGAAAGTGAAATTGAAAAGCGAACATGCGTTCAAAAGTGATTTCAATACCCCGCATATTGACATCCCTACAGCACTCCCTTTTTCTAGTGGGATAATAATTAGAAATGTTCATTAGAAATGTTACAAATCAGAGTATCTGAAATTGAATGATTTCTGAAGGTGACACTGAAGACTGGAGTTAATGGCTGCTGAAAATTCTGCTTTGCCATCACAGGAATACATTTTAAAATCTATTAAAAATGGAAACCAGTTACTTTAAATTGTAATAATATTTAGGGGCCAAGCACCGAAGGTGCGGAGGCACCTATTGTATCTGTTCCGGTTCTTATTATTATTATTAGGGGCCAAGCACCGAAGGTGCGGAGGCACCTATTGTAACTGTTCCCGTTCTTATTATTATTCTTCATTCTTCCGACTGGGCGTCTATGGCAGCCCATAGAACCGTTTCCGGGAAAGTTATGAAATTTGGCGCACAGATAGAGGACAGTCTGAACTCTCACCATATCAATTTTGGAGTCTCTAAATCAAAAGGTGATGTCACTCAAGTTTCAGACCAAACTTGGTACATGTCATCACAAGCATGACCTGAGGCTACATGCTGCGTTTCGGCGCAGCGCCACCTACTGGTCCGGAGATATGAAAAACAGCTATTTTTGCTCGTAACTTCTGAACGGTTTGTCCAAAAATCATAAAAGGGGTCTCTTTAGATTCAGGGCGTCATGCCGAGTCGACTGATATCTAATTTTCCCAGATCGGCCATTTTGGCTGTCGGCCATTTTGAATTATGTGCAAAAATGCTGTATTTTTTGAACGCATGAACGAATTGTTACGAAACTCGGTATGGGTCATCAGTACGATGCCCTGAAGGAGCCTGAGAAGTTTCGAAACAGCGCCACCTAGTGGTAAAATTTATTTTTCAAATGCTTATAACTCTGGCTGTGGTTGACTTATTTTCACGGGAGTCATCTCGTTGAGGTCCTGAATCGTTGCCGAGTCCAGAGATACCAAACATGCTAGGTTTCGGCTTACGGTTTGTGTAGAGTTGTGATTTAGCGCTTAAAAAACATTTGCCGATATCTTCGAAACCGTTAGTCCGATCGAGACGAAACCACCGTCAGAAAATTGGAAACATAGGTCGATAGCTATACGCCAATGCCCAAATGCCAAAATATTGATAGTAAGGGGTCGTAAAATTCAATCAAAGTCACGTGTCAGTCATTTTTTACGTGTTTTTTCACATAAATGTCTATAACTCTGAAGTTAATCGAGATATCTTCACCAAAATTGACACACAGATGTAGGGGCTCACTCTGAGGACACATGCAAAAAATTGTGGGATTTTGCCTCTTGGTGGCGCTATAATAGAACAAAACATGAAAATCCCATTGATTTCAATGCAGTTTTGTGATGTGAAATGCTATACTTAATAAAAACATTGCTGTAACATTACGAAACTCAGAATTTGTTACCAGCACCTTGCCTTGAAGGTACTCAAAAGATTTCAAGACAGCGCCACCTGTTGGTCAAAAGTTAAAATTACATTTCCAAAAATGCTAATAACTTTTTTAAAAATGTGCTTATTGTAATGACACTGGTCTTAATAGATTCCTTGGGTCATGCCGAGAACATAGATACCAAGTTTGACGTATTTGGACGAACTTCCTGTCCGCCATCTTTATTTACTTTCAAAACCTTCTTTTTCGAACTTCTCCTAGACCATTGGTCCGATTTTCACCAAAATCGAATCGTATCATCTCCCGACTGTACCGACTAAAAGGTATGGATTTCGTGACGATAGACGAAACCGTTTTTGTATACCGCAGCAGCAAAGTTGAGACATGCTGCCAAAATGACTATTAAGTCTTTATCTCTGCAATGCCTTGATATTTTGACACCAAACTTTGTATGTGTCATTGTCACCTCACTCTGACCACATCACATCGATTTCGTAACTGCGCCACCTATTGGTCGAAAGTGATAATCCATTAAATCATCTTAAAAGTTACTGTATATATGATTTTTTAGCCATTTGCCCAACATTCTCTTAAAATGTCTTTAATTGCTCCTTGCTGCTGTCGGTCTGAAACTTCCAGCCATGTTGGCATGTCTTGTCGTCTGCGTTTGCGCTTGGCCCCGGAATGGCTGCTTGCAGCTATATTTCACTGTATTACTGTTTTTATTGTATTTTTTTATATATATAATTAATGCAGCCTTGGTGAGCATAAGCGACTTCTTTCAAAAACATAAAAAAATCTGACAGACTCCAAACTTTTGAATGGTAGTGCATTTCAACAACATCTCGACAAACCTTAGCTGCTAATGAAACAACTCTGTACTCAAATATTTGGTAATAGAGTGATGTCAGATCCCGGAAGTCTAATGTTGCGTTCAAGTCCTCCTGGGAAGTTCGTACTTACGAGGGAACGAAGGCAGGTGTGTTCAAGTCACTTTCGTTGGAGTAAGATTGCGGTGTACTTTTTCTTAATTAATTACACAAAAATACAGCAAGGTTCTCAAACTCTAGTTCTAGAAAATGAAGAACAAAGAATCAGGCAAACAAATCAAAGCAAACCTGTGCATCAGGTGTGCTTTGCTTTTTTATGTTTTTAATTAATTTATGATCCACTGAAAAGTTTATCGTTACATTTTACATTGTTATATTATAATGCCATCATATTATGTGCAGGCAATTAGCTTAATACGCTGTAAATAGAAAAGCCTGACAATATCACTGCTAAATACCTTTAAGTATTGTGGTGTTTTGCCATGTTTCTCACTGACACTTCCCCAACTCGTAAAAAACGGGGCTTATATAAAATCCCGAGCTTCCCACACGTATTTACCACATTTTGGTGGCATTCATGTGCGTTCAACTCGTAAATACGATCTTTACGAGATGACTTGAACACACCAAAATTCACTGCTGGTTCTTTCGAGATTTTCCTATGGGATTTTATAATGGGGTTTTTCAATTTATGAGTAAAATAAAGCTGTTCTACAACGTACATGGCACACACTCACACCCCAAACTGTCTTATCTAGTTACTTATTAAAAACTTGTTTTCAAAAATGAACACAACTGCTTTAGACTTCCACTAGGGGGCCTCAGTGATCCTCCAGGCCATAAACCCTTGTTGCTGCCCTCTAGTGGTTTATAAGTATTAGCAAGCCAAATAAATTTTCTTGAACCATTGTCCTCTTCATTGTCTTGGTAACATTGTTGATTGTGCCCACAGCACCCTCAGATCCAGAAGAAGTCACAATATATAAAATACCTGTGCTGTGATGATGTCAGAACTCTACACCAATGGGTCAATGGAATTCGTATTGCTAAGGTAATCCCATGGCTTTTCCTGTCCTCTGTTGTATTAATGAATTAATGAAATGCTCTTCTAGTACAAATTAATAGGCCAAATTATTTATACAACTAACATTCTTCTGTATTTGAAAAATAACTTGTTGCCAGAGCTCACATTGGAAATGTCTTAAGTCTCATCTCTGCCCATTGTGTTTTATGCACAGTATGGGAAGCAATTGTATGTGAACTACCAGGAAGCCATGAAGCGCACTGAAGCTGCCTATGACTGGTCTTCTCTCTCCAGCACCAGCATCAAGTCAGGAACAAGCTCAGTCAGTATACCTGGTGAGTAACTTAAACCTACTTAGACACTGGCTGCCCTTCACATTGCCCTTCACATTGCCAGACATGGGCAGTATTTCAATTAAATGTATTTTAAATACGTATTTAATTACTTTAGTGTATTTTGTAATTTGTATTTTGCAGGTGTGGAAAAAATAAAATGTAGTTTGTAACAAAATATTTTGAGGGAGTGTATTTGAGTATTTCAAATACTTAAATACTTAAGAAAAATCACCATAGTAAAAGATTTTGCCATATTTTCGGTCTGATGTTGGCAATGGCAATGTCCAGGTTAGATGCACGAAAATCACGTGACACCCTGTAGACCGCGCTTCCTCCAAGAAGTGAATGAGTTTTGAACACAGGAGAAGAAGTGGCGCTGCTCCTCTTAAAAACGGCATTAAAGGTGCTATCAGCGATTTCAGGCCCAAAAAAGGCCGAAACATAAATGATCACATTCATCTAATTTTTCCTAGCGATCCGGTAGCTGCCCGCCCCATTAGCATGCCGTCCAAAAACCGCGTCTAGGCTCTGAGATCTGCACTCAAAAACAATGGGTTTCACCAACCACCAAAACCTAAACAAACAGTGTTCCAACCAGTGATGCGCGGGTTGATCCAAAATGAGCGGGTGCCTACGGTCACCCGCGGTTACGAGTCATCCAAAAATATTTTTAATGATATTCGGGTCGCGGTCGGTCAAGTCGTTTGAAATATAAAAAATATAAATGCCAATTAAACCTTTGTAATTTATATAGTAGGCCTACTTGACACAATTTTCTATGAAATACATAGGCCTAACTTATACTTTATTGACTGAATAACTGGCGCGAAGATGACGCACGAGCTGCCTACTAAGACAAGTGGGAAATCCTTATTTACCTTTTCGAATGTTGAGCATTATTAACTTTTGAATAAATGCTGACGTAAAATGCCCGATTTCCCAACACGTTGAACTGAGCAATGCCATTGTACCATTTTAATAGGCTACTTTTAAAAGCATATAGCTCAGTAATGTCAGTGTATTTTCTGAGAGGGGGCGGGATTTTTGTTGGGAAAGTCAGGGGAGAGACGCACACTTAGATTAGACTGGATAAACACATGCAGCATCTTAATTGTTAAGAAAATGAAACGAAATAAATGAATAAATCAAGCCTTTGTTACATAACACTAGGCTATATCATACAGCATTCAGAAAAAGAACAGTTTGCGCTCCTAAGGGCTTTCACACTTTTCCAAAAGCGGCCACACTCCTCCGCACCCCAAGTTCCTATACGTCTATGGCCCAATGACGCTACGGTGAGCATTTACTACTTTTAAAAAATGCGGGTCAGGAAGCGGGTTGGGTACAATATTTTCTTTTCTTTTTTTTGCGGTCCGAGTTGCGGGCAGGTTAGTTGAAAACGTCGGTCGGGTGCGGTTTGTTTATACATTGACCCGCGCATCACTGGTTCCAACCAATCACCGACAGTGTTGTGAGGTTTTGCACGGCTGCACGCGAAGTCGGAGCAAAACCTCACAACACCCTGTCGGTGATTTCCCCCTAGGAAAAATGAGATGAATGTGATAATTTATGTTTCGGCCTTTTTTGGGCCTGAAATCGCTGATAGCACCTTTAAGGTAAAGTGTTTTGTGAAAAATATACAGTCTACACACACACATATTGCACACTGAATGGCATTATAGAGAAAATAATTGTGCCTTATGAGATCAATGCACTGTGTTGTCATTCTTAAAAGGACATCATATGCCCTACCTATTATGAAACAGCGCGTCTGTCGTAACTCCACTGAAATCTCCATGCTAAGCAAGCGTTCACAATATAAACGTATTACATATGAGAAATATTGATATTGATTTTGTATAAAACTACCACACCATTGATGTGAACTTAGCTATACATGCCATTTACGTCAGAGGGAGCTATTTCAGGCCCTGTAGAGATTTAGTGAAATGGCCATACTTTTTTATTTTGCTACTTCGCCATTTTGAATTTACACATTTATCATATTTGTGTTATTGACCTTTCAGTAATACAAAAAAAAAGACTTAAGATTATTGTGGGAGTATTTTTGTATTTTCAAAATACTAATTACTTGTATTTTATTTAAATACATTTTTCACATCAGTATTTTGTATTTTATTTTGTTACATTTCATGAGCCAGTATTTGTATTTTGTAACAAAATAGTTTTTGATGTATTTGTGCCCACCTCTGCACATTGCGCAAATTAAATGTGAATTAAATGTGAATTAAATGTGAATTAAAGGTGCAGTGTGTGATTTTTAGCGACATCTAGCGGTTCGGTTGCGAGTTTGCACTAAGGGCTCAGCCCACTGCTCACCCCTCCCTTTCGAAGAAGCTACGGAGGCTAAAACGGGACAAACATCGTCGTCTGAGACAGCAGAGAATAGCCAGAGTAAACCAAGTTTCTGTACCACAGTCCATTATAAACCACATCATGGATAAAGTTTACATAGCCTTAGTCAGGTGAGGATGAAGGGTTATGTATTATATTAATACATAATATAATAATAGTAATCAGCTGATTGTCTCACGAACGTAACCAGCACATTTCTCCCCACATAGCAAACCCATAATACAGCGAGGGAGAAGAACCACATGAAACTATGCCACTATATATTTTTTCTAACAGGGTAGTAAAAGTTTAACTGGCTAATATGAGCTGTTACTGTGGCTGAGCTGGTTAAAGCGTTAAGCCTTGTTTATACTGGACGCGTCCGCATGAGCCCAAAGGTGCGTGCGGCAAAAATGACGTGATTGTAACAGCGCGCGCCTCCGCATCCCCTAGACACCATTTACTACACACAATAGGCTTTTTTTCTCTGATTTTGGAAACTCGATCGACTTAAAATGCTTCCAAGATCGACTTGTCGACCGCAATCGACGGGTTGGTGATTCATGTTACTGTTTTACGGTCAATGACAAGAGTAGCCTACTAATCAGCTGTCTCACGAACGTAACCAGCACATTTATCCCCACATAGCAAAGCCATAACACAGCGAGGGAGAAGAACTAAGTTACATGAAACAATTCAACTACATATTTTACTCCACTGACAAGGGAAAAGTCACTACTCACGGTGTTTATGGCTAGCTTCTAGCTTTCTGCTGCTTCTCTTTCAATGTAGTGACGAAACGCGCTCTGTAACGCTGTTTGTTCGCTGTCGGCTACGGTAGAAACATGACGTCACAATATGTCGACCTTCATAGAAGGGGGTGCCCGCGGTTATGGAGATATAAATGCCTTTTTCTAAGGTAATAAAAACATTACGGTTTATGAAGTAAGTTCTTTATACACCACTGAACACATAGTTATGGATGTCATATTGCATTTCTGTTAATAGATACTCAAAATTTTTACACATTGCACCTTTAAATGTTTCCATTGCCCTTCACATTGTGCAAATTAAATTGCGAATTGAAAATACGCCCAATTGAAACACGTCAATTTTGCAAAAACTCGCATATATTGCAAATACGTTTTTATGCTCGCATGAGGTGGTTTTTCAGGCAGTTTGAAAAAGGAATATTTTGCAAAATTGCAATGGAAACAGTTTTTTTGCATTTACAGTTCACCTGGCGTACGTAAAAGTCGATCATTCTTTAAAGACGGCATGGTATGCTTGGACAGAAGACGAGACAGAGTTCTTTATTAAACTCATAAAAGACAAAAGAATTACGGGAATACTGGATTCTAATCAACAAAAGAGATGCCACAATTTATCGAGACCTTGAAGCAGATAGAAGGGAGAAACACCCAGAAACACCTCATACGTGGCCGCTCCTAAGTATAAGGGGCTTTGTTTGCCATTAATGTGTGGATAACACACCTACGTCTCCTTCGATTCAAATACGGCTAGTGCAGTGGCTGCGATATACGTAAACCTACCAACATGAGTTCCCATGATGTTTGGAAATGACTTATCGCCAGAGGAAAAAATTGTTTTAGTCGCATAACATCGGTTAATGAAAACGAAGTCATTTCGCAATAGTTTTTTATCGACATTTAGAAAATATCGCAACATTTTTGCGCAATTCTGTAATGGAAACCAGGCTACTGACTGCTCCTTTATACACTTTTTTTTTCATATTTTTCTACTGAAATTTCTAGAAATATAAGGATTGGCAGTTCTGGAGAATATCCTTTTTGATGGAATATTAGTGATTTTACTGATTTGCATTACTGTAAGTGTATGGGTTATTGTTAATGTTTAATCTGTTTTTGCTTAAAGAGTCACAGTCAAACCACTCTAGCCAGACAGACAGTGGTATGTCCGATGGCACTTCATCCTCCCATGCCCGCTCCCAGAGTGTGGTCAGTTCAATCTTCTCTGAGGCCTGGAAGAGAGGGACTCAGATAGAGGAGAGCACAAAGGTGAGTTCTTCTTTCTCTATTTGTTCTGGAGAGATACATCTTTGCTCTTTACCTGCACTTTCTTCAATTAATCTCTTGATAAAACACTAAGATGAACCAATTATTTAAAGGAAAATTTGACACAAAGGTGAAAATTCCATCATCATTTGCTCACCTTCATGTCCTAAACCTGTGTGACTTTCTTTCTTTTGTGGAACACAAAAGGATTCTGTAGACTGTGCTGGTCACTTTTCTCCGTGCAGTTGCAATAAATTATGTAATAATTGATGCAATTATGTATTAATTGATATCGAACCCTTATAGCTTTGTATGAGAAACTAAGGTTTTCAGTCAGTTTCCTCATTCTTTTTAACTGCATGAAAAATCTAAATTTTTCCATTTGTGTTCCAAAGAAGAAAAAGTCATTCAGGTTTGTAACAACATGAAATTAGGTGCTGAAGTATGTTGTGAAATTTAAATTTTTGGGTGACTATTCTTGTGTGCTAGTGGTTTTCAACCCCGTTGTAGAAGCCCCCCAAACTGTACATTTCAAATGTCTCCTTTTTATGACACCCAATTCAGGTTTTAGAGTCTATACTAATGAGCTGATGACCTGAATGAAGTGTATTTGGATAGGGAGATATACAAATATAAGATATACAAATAAGAAATAACACATTATCGATTTTTGTTTATTTGTTGTTGTTTTTTTTGTTTTGTTTTTGGTTCAGGCAAGACCAGAATCGATCCGTTCTACCCATTCAAGCCATAGCACCCATTCTTCTCATCATGTGGCCCAACAGCAGCATCCACACCTACAGCAACAGCCAAATGCACATTCAATTCCACAGTCACGAGGAAGTGTCCACCAAGCCCCAACACAGGCACCACCCCAAGCAACTCCAGCCCCGCCACCCCCTCCTCCTCCTCCTCCCCCTCCCCCACCACCTCCTGTTTCCAGTATCCCCCACCATGCTACTCCTACCATGTTTGCCAAATACAGCACTATCACTCGCCTGCAGAATGCTTCTCAGGCTATAAGTCACCACAAACCTCATCCTCAAATCCAGCAGCAAGTGCCACCAGTCCCTCCAGTATCCAAACCACAATCAAACAATATTCCACCAGGGGCAAATATCCCACCTCCTCCTCCTCCACCTCCACCTGCCCCAATGCCTCCGCCGGGATCAGCCATGGCTGTTTTGAAGCTTGGTCCACCAGCCCCAGCAGCAGTTTTACAGTCATCCCCTCTAACCCCCTCACCACCACCACCACCTCCTCCTCCCATAATGCCCATGCAGTCACAACCTCTACCACCACCTCCTCTCATAAAACCTACACAGTCACAGCCTCTACCACCTCCTCCTCCCATAATGCCCATGCAGTCACAACCTCTACCACCTCCTCCTCCCATAATGCCCATGCAGTCACAACCTCTACCACCTCATCCTCTCTTAAAACCTACGCAGTCACAGCCTCTACCACCACCTCCTCCTCTCATAATGCCCATGCAGTCACAACCATTACCACCTCCTCCACCCATAGTGCCATTCCAATCACACCCTTTACCACCTCCTCCACCCCCTCTCCAGGCTAATGGCCTTTCCCCTCCTCCACCGCTCTCTACAGTCCAGGCACCTTGCAGAGTCAATGGACTCAAGCAGGTTCTTGCCCAAAAATTTTCCAATGTACCCCTGGACGTATTGCCCCCAGCTAATCAGACCCCTTTTCCCCCACCACCTGCACCTACACTCACTCCTCAACAGCATGTTGTTCCAGCTCCATATCCACCACCTCCACCATGCCCAACACAGCTGCCAATTCAACCAGCAGTTTTACCAAAAACTTTCACTGGTGGATTTCTACCCCAAACAGCACCCAAAACTTCCCATGGCATTTTTCCAGTATCCCTAGTAGCTCCGTCACCCCAAGTTCCAGTGCCACCTCCCCCTCCTCCTCCACCTCCAGCACCATTGAAGAACCAACCCCCGCCAACACTACCCAAGCAGCACAGCATCTCCAAGACACTGCCCCTCGCCAGCCAAACCTCATCAGTGCCATCCCTGGTTAAGCAGCTTGCTAGCCAGTTTCCTGTTGCATCTCCTGCAGTGGCCAATCAAGCGGAGAGCCACAAAGCTCCCCAGTCCCCACCTGCAGTGAAGGCTAAACCAAAATGGCAGCCTGTAGGTCAAGCCCAGCAGCAACAGCGGTCACCTGAGTTTCCACCACCTCCACCAGAGAGTACCCTTGCTTTTCCTTCTCCACCACCACCTCCTCTTCCTCCAGGTCCCACCCCTCCTCTACCCCCTCCTCCTCCTCTGATGTCAGGCCCTCCCCCTCCTCCTCCCCCTCCTCCTCCTCCTCTGATGTCAGGCCCTACCCCTCCTCCCCCTCCTCCTCCTCCGATGTCAGGCCCTACCCCTCCCCCTCCAATGTCAGGCCCTACCCCTCCCCCTCCTCCTCCTCCTCCTCCTCCAATGTCAGGCCCTCCCCCTCCTCCGATGTCAGGCCCTACCCCTCCTCCTCCAATGTCAGGCCCTACCCCCCCTCCTCCTCCTCCTCCTCCTCCTCCTCCTCCGATGTCAGGCCCTACCCCTCCTCCTCCTCCTCCGATGTCAGGCCCTACCCCTCCTCCCCCTCCTCCTCCTCCTCCTCCTCCTCTGATGTCAGGCTCTCCTATCAGAAAGTCCTCTGGTTCAGCTGCAGGTGTCAAGAAACCTCCACCGACTCCTCAACGCAACCAGTACCAGGAGTCCTGCAGAAACTTGGTGAGCAAGTTTAACCCTAGTTCTGCTTCTTCATCAACATCAACCTCCAGCATCTCACACTCCAAAGAGTTTTCTACAGGTCCACGTGCACCCCCCAAACCAGGGAAGCTCAATCTGGCAAATCTTCCTTTGGCTTTGCAGACCAAATTTAATCAGAACCGCCAATCAACTGCAGACTTCCCATCCCCTCCACCCCCAGAGAATGAATTCTTCCCTCCTCCCCCACTGGAGTCTGACCTTCCTCCACCACCGCCCCTTCCAGGTGATTCAAATGGTGTGTCTCCAAAAATAGCTGTGGTCAATCCACAGCCCCAGCCTGCCTGGGGCAAGAGTTCCCTGAAGAAGTCGCAACCTCCAGCATCACTTCGCTGTAACAACTCTATTAGAGAGTCTCCACCCCTCTCACCACCTTCCATACAAGGGGGCCCTATTCGGCCATCTTCTCCCAAAGGCACCACGCAACCCAACTTCTTGCAGGACCTTAACAAGACACTGAAACGCAAGTCTTCGCGAGTCTTGGGAGACAAAGTGGACCCTGTGGCCACAATGGATGACATGGCTTTGCCACCACCTCCCCCTGAAGTTCTGCATGACCAACAGAGGCACAGTGGGAGTGGCTTCATGTCCGGGAATATCTCAGGCTATGCAACGCTACGGAAAGGGCCGCCTCCAGCCCCACCCAAGCGGGACCACAGCACCAAACTAACAAACTGATACAACTTCAACTTTTCTTGGACACTCTTGCTTGCTAATTTCATGTCTGTCATAGTTGTAGAGGGGAAGCCATCATTTTGTTGATTATGCTCAGCTTGTTCTGTACAAAACGACTCAGTAAAGCTGAAACTTCTTGTGACTTTGTGACAGTGCATCAGTTTCAAACAACTGAGTGATTCCACTTCAACACCTTGGTACTGCATGGAATACAAAACTGCATAATATAAAATAATCTTATTGATTTTTGGGAAGATGAATGTTTTGAACTTTGGGGTTGGGTGGGATTTTTAATTTTGATTTTATATTCTTTTTATATTATTATTTAATAATCTGAAGAGATTTTGTTATTTTACACTGCATTTTTTTAAATAATTGGATGGTTATTTTTGTTTGAGGAGTATTAGATGTATAGGTCGATGTAGACTGTGTGTTTGGTTGGTATATTAGTTCGGCACGACTTTCACCAATTGTGTGGCAGATCCAGTGCTCAGTGGATACATCTAGCATCTATTCTGATCACTATTATTCTTTGAGCCACTTTAAGTGCGTTTTAAATGTAATTGTCAAAATTGTAACATGAAGGAGGAGTTGTTCAGGGAGTTGCCTCAATGTCTAGTTCTGTGAGACTGTGGAATGTTTGCTTTTTTTTATTAGACCTGTTTAAAATGTAGATATTCTCATTTGCTGCAGTATCTTTGTCTAGGTAAAACAAATGACTGCCTTGCTGTTCCTTGTTAGTCCTTACTTCCTCTGGTGAACGTTCAAGCTGACTTTTACAAATTGTTCACCTATGAAGAGATGGACTTTTAAGTCATGTGACTGAATGACACAATCATTATTCACATAGTTTTATCTTATATCCTGTATTATAACCTGTATTATTGGCTCATGAATACAGCCATGCCTTAAAAAGATTCTAGAACATGCGTATCAAACAACCTATCAAAATATTATCACCTTACAAGAAAAGACCATTTTATTACATAAAAGTTACATTTCCCTGTTGGTTTTACCGGTCAAAGGATTCTGGCTGATTTTCCCCATTCAGACATGACATGCAACTTCAGAATCTTACACTAAGTACCAATCTATAATGGCTCTATAAGAGCCACATGGCATATGTACAAACCAGTATACATATTATCTCATGTCCACATTTCCTTTTGAAGAATTTGTTTATTGAATGTATTTACAATATCATGAAACTTTTCAGGCTGTTGAGAAGTGACTAAATGAAGTTAATATTAAATTATTATAGTATCCGGTCTTGATCCATTTAAGGTCTCTGAACATCATGCTCTGCATATCTCTCTGCAAAATGTGTAATTTAAAATGAAATTATACATATTGATATCCATGCTTCTGTTCTTTTCTTTGGGTTTCTTGGGGTGGTTGATGTCAGCAGGTATCTATTCCCATTATATGGGTAGCCAGTGGCAAAATCCCTAGTACAGTAGTCTGTTCATTTAGCTTTATATTTGTAGCACCTTAATATGTGTATGAAGAATCTTCATGTGATTTTATTCTGCAGGTCAGTGATATGGCAGGTGATTGTTGAAATGGTCGCCACGAACATGGTTGGTTTCCGTGTTGCCGTGATGGCCAGCATGAATTGGTGGAGACACATTAATGCTTGGTGATAAAGTTGAATGTGTGCGGTCTACAAATATGACAAGAGCATTATCAACATGGTCACAATACACCAAATATAAAAGTGTAAAAAAAATATTACATAAATGTGTTTACCTCTAGTCCCAAAATGATTTAAATCGTAGTATAATCCTAGTCTCCCCTGTTGGTAGAAAGAAGTCATCATCAAATGATTTCACATTGCCTATCTCAGCAACTTCAGGTTAATCAAATTATTTCATTAATTGATCAGTCATTCAGTCATGGATTTATCAAAATGTTATATAAATAATATATATAATCATATTAATATTCAAAATATTTAACTATCCTAGACAGTTTACATGCTTCTGCACAAGTCAATTAATAGTTTTTGTCAAGTTACATTTACTGATGCAAATCATTCTAGCCCTTCCTGCTTGTTGCCAGTCACAACTCGGAGTGTACACGTATACCTCACATTAAGTGACATTAGTTCAACCTTGCATTATATAAGAACAAAATGGCTCAGAAAAATAAATAAAAAATAACCACTTTGCCCTTGATGATGAACATATTGTGTGCTATTATTGTTTTCAGTCATGTGCAACCTGTACATATCTGTAAACATCTAAAAAAAAAAAAGTGTTTAGGGTTTCATAGCCCTTTAAAATTCAGCTCATACTGTATCTACTCATACTGTTTGCAAGTCCATGGTGAACCACTTTATGTTCACACTCACCTCCTCACTGGACTCCGAGCTCGAGCTGTCTGCCTTTGTGCATCTGAGAGAGATGATGCGACTGAGCTCCTGAGTCACTCGTGCTATGATATAGCACCCTGCCTCCGACTAAAACACCATGGGAATGGACAGGAATCAAATAAGATTCATTAAAAAAAATGCATTATACTGCTATTACAAACCATTATACAACGTCAGTCCAGTCACTACAGATCATTACTTGTTTTTAAAAAATATTAATGACATCCAACTTTTGAATGATAGTGAATAGGGAATGTCAAATATATAAATATATTGTACATAGGTCATAGTTCTTTCACCATTTTCTATAAAATAATTAAATTTGTACATTAAATACAAATATAGGCGCTATTTCATTCTCTTTCACTTTTTTGTGGTTTCTAGATAACGTGTGTGTGTGTGTGTGTTTGTGTTTATGATGGGTAAATTTATATTGAAAATTACAACCACTCAGCAGTTATACAAATTATTTACATATTGCATCCTGTTTTCTACCACAATTCAAGTTCAGCCACTGAATTGGAATCAAAAAGGAGTGGGGTGTATCTCAATCAGCTCCCTAGTTCAGTAGTCAGGGCACTTATCAGGGAGTCGGACATTTTAAGAGCTGTCTCAATCGCAAAATCCTAGCAGTGCACTGAAACTTTTGCTCCCTAAATAGTCCCACCATTCAAAAGGAAAAGTCCACAATTCCCTTAACGGAAGTTCTAAAGTCATGTTGCCGGAAATAGTAATCAGTGTCCAAATGTGTAGTGAGCCAGGATCCTTACTGCAGTGCCCCAATTCATGTACACGATATATACTGATTCATAGCTGACTGAGAGATTAAATTGCCTCTGTCAATTCAGTTTGAATGGTGCACAGCCCTGGTACAATTGCACTGAGACTAACTACACCATTAGAGACACCAGATGTTCTGTCACAATATAAAGATACAAATAAGAGCACTAACTGCCTTCAAGTTTTATATACACCAGTTATCTCAGGCCAACCCAGACCTTAATCATCACATGATATTAATGTGAATTAAGTCCTTAAGATAACTTGCCACAAAAAAACCTTTGCGGTACATGCAGCCCTGAGGGTCGGCCGCAGAGGTCTTCTGGCACTCTGTCTCCCTAATGCCAAACCTCAGATGCAGATCATATGTGTCCATCCCCAGAGGAACAATCTTAAAATGAATAAAAGCAAATGATCAACAGTTAGTTATCACAGTACAATCACTGACAATATGAAAGCTAGTATTCGCTGCTAAAGATAATTTTGGTTTTGTTGCCTAGCTTTTTTAACTATTCATTTTGTTGTACTTCTCTTACCATCCCCAATCTTAGGTCTTTTCACACTGCTTAACCCTGGGTTATTGTCGTTCTAACCCCCACTTCTAAAGTCACCATGAAGTCAAAATGACAAATATTTTTTTCTTCTTCTTTTTTTAGTATGGAATATTGCAGTATTCATTATAAATGATTTATCCGTGCATGCCTTTTTTTATGTGCCCAAATTTTGAGCAATGTGAAACGTGAAGCAAGATAAATCAGGATAACCCAAGATTCCGTTTACACAGGGTTTAGAAGGACCCAGGGTATGTCAAGTTTGAAAATTCCATGATGACTAGATCCTTTAGTCACCCTACACCAGTTTTGCGATAAAACAGTGTTTTGTAAGAGCGTGTACTGACCCTCTTCACAGACGCCTTGGATACTCTGTAGAGGTGATTCCTGGCATAACGTGCATTGATCTGATTGAGGGCCATCTGTAGAGCATCGTCTGCTTTAGAGCTGAGCTCAAACAGAGGAAGGCCTATGGTTGCACAACAGAGGTCCTGTTACTCGTTTATAAATTTACAAGTATAGTCCCAAACAATTTCTAGGCTTTAAAGTTAAAAGGTAAACAATTTCAAAGATTAAACGTTTTATTCATAAAAACAAATAGCACATGTACATCACAGAGACGTCTATTTGATGAGCGTCTTTACATATTTTTTAGTGTTTGCTCATCTGCAATACAGATATCAAATACATTTAGAAGATATCTTTCAAATGTTTATAATTTATAATGTGTAAAACTGACATCTCAAAGACGTTTATCAGATGTTAGTAAACAGCAGATGCTTTACAGATGAAGTGATCTTTAACAGACATATTGCAGACGTACGTGTGCTATCTGGCTAGTTGTAACTGTTGACTTAGATTTCAGCAATGTAAAGTACAAAATCTGCCTAACTTTTTCCATTGTTAATCAAATACTAACATGTTAGTCTTACCAGAGTGTCATCAGATAATTATTCACTTACCAGTCAGTGATGCAAATGATGCATGTCACACTCACCTAAACCTCCAAAAACCTGCAGGAGCAGATACAGAAAAACACAGCACTTCATTTTCATCTGTCAGTCAGAGTGGACGCTCTTACCACCAAAAAAGTCGCTTTTTTAACCGGTATGGCTTTGAGTCCTCCTCCTCCTTTCCTAGTACAAGGCGTTGTTTAATTTGGCATCACTCTCCTGTCCGTGCACATCTGGATAAAGAGGAACTTTGTCATACAGACTCAATGCTTGTTTTACCAAGAATATGTTCTGATAATCTGAGAAATGACTGTACAATTAACTATAAAGATGTTGGTCATTTGGAAGAGATGTACTTGAAAAGCAGTGTAAATTACACAGTGCTATACATTTATTATGTTACCATGACAATTCTATTTAAATGCATATAACTAGTTTAAAACGCTATAAAAATGTTTTTTCTGGTCATCTTATAATTTACAGTAAAACAATGTTACAGAAGTTTCTTCATGATGGATTGCATATTTTATTTAAATAGTTGATTCTTGTTTATTTATTTTATTATTATGCTTTTCAGTATTATGCATATAGATTGATTTATATTCTGTGATATGAAGAATGAACAGCTGAAATTTGACATTGCAAGAAACACATTTCTGTTACACTTCTTTCTAAACAATAACTAAAACTGCAGATTTGCCCCCTACTCTTGGAAAAGTGAAATGCAATAGATTATTGCAAAGTAACTGTAGCAGGCCTGATGTGATCACAGTCTGAAGTTGCCTTTCTACTTTGTAGGTCATAGGGGAGCTGAACAGAGGAATGTCCGGTTCATCCATGACGCTGTCTAGACTCTAGAGGACTATGTGGCTAGTAAATAATTACAAAGAAGAACATACTAGGGAGTGAGAAATTCAAGATTTAATGATGCATGAGATCAAGATATTTTCTTGACAGTGATATGAGCAGACTGATGAACAGCGAACAGACGTCTAATTTTGTCATAAGCAAGAATTAAATCTGCTTTCTTTACAATTAGTAGTTTCGAACTCCGATTTTTAAGAGACGAAGAGAAATGGTCAGTGAAGGCTTGACAAGTTAAAGAGTTAGTTCACCCAAAAATGAAAATTCTGTCAGTAATTACTCACCCTCATGTTGTTCCAACCCCGTAAGACCTTCGTTCATCTTCGGAACACGAATTAAGATATTTTAATAATAGTTTAAATAAAGTCGTTTTTTTTTTTTTTTTTTTTTGCGCACAAAAAGTATTCTCGTCGCTTGATAAACTTAAGATTGAGCCACTGTAGTCACTTGGACTATTTTAACGATGTCTTTAATAACTGTTCGAGGCCGGCAAGTTCAATCCCTGAAGAAGCCTATGGAGGAGTGATCCAGCTCTCAGATTTCATCAAAAATATCTTAATTTGTGTTCCGAAGATGAACGAAGGTCTTACGGGTTGGAACAACATGAGGGTGAGTAATTACTGACAGAATTTTCATTTTTGGGTGAACTAACCCTTTAATTTGGTGGTAGATCAGGTTCATGAACCATGAAATATGTTACAGCTTACTCTAAAAAAAAAAAACATCCAGCCCTGAACAATATTAATAAAAGTCATTTGTGTGTATGCACCGACCTTACGGTCTGTTAAACAACATTTTTTTCACTTTTACACAGTTTTTTTCTAGGAATAATGTGTTCAAAGTTCATTTTGCCAGAGTTTGTGACACCATGTCCCAATAATGAAGGTGTTGCTAAACTATATGCGTAGTTACAATGGAATTTGTCATTAACAGCTTGTTATAGAAAAATGTGAAAGGCAGAAATATCAAGCTATTGCTTTGGCCAACAAATATTGCAATTACAAAATTATATTATAAATATTAAATTATAAATTAAAATCATACATTGGTAACACTTTATTTTAATGGTCCATTTTGAACATTCTGTTGGCTTTAAGTAACTTTGCAACTGCATGTCATCTGTCATTAGAGTATTAGTGGACTGTCTGCACTTCCCCTGATTTTTGAAAAATACCCGTGTTGTTTGAAGCATTCTTACATTTTTAATCACTGATGTTCAGGTTTTTGTAGAAACTGTCTCCATTTTCTCACTGGTTTCTATTCTGCTACTCCAGCGGTGATTACCGGAAAATATTGAGTTTATGAGTGTTAATTCTCTGTATTGTTTAATACAGATACTAAATGCTATGCAGTTGAACAACAATTTCTTCCTACGAGTCAGTATCAATATTCATCAGCCAATTGTCAAATACATTTCTAATAAAGCATAATACATTTTATAACATGAGATGAATCGGATTACTGCAGGTGGATGAGGCGTCTTTATCATGAGAAAGCTTCCTAAACCTAAATATTAATTATCTAGAGGATTTTGAAAGCTAAAGAAGAATTCTGTTTAAATACTCTCAGTTCCCTCCTCGTGTCCCTTGGTACTATGCCCTGTTTAATTTGGCCCCTCTCAGTCGCTTTCCTATCTAGTCTAGACAGACACACACTGTTTCCCTTACCCAGAATCTGTGCTCCAGGGATGCCTTTTCTGTATAGCAGTTATAATGTAAAAATAATTCTTATCTGTTACAGGAGGTTGGAGAGCTGCATGTGACAATGCTAAGAATTGATAAGAGCTGTCCAATGTAATAACATGTACAGTATATTAATGTAATAATTACACAGAAATATAGCTACTAAAATGCTGTGGGAAAACATCCTGTTATATTTCCAGACCACCATTCAAATATAATTTATTGTATTAAAAACAAAAACAATTCAATCAACAAAGTTGAACGTATAATATCCTTCCAAGAGAAATATCACATTTTTGAACTCTTATTTGTAACTCTCTGAAACCTGTTACAATAAAATAAAACAAACCTATTATAATTATAAACCATATTCATCATAAATAATGTACATAAAACAGATCTAAAGACAAATCAGCATGTGTTTTAAAAGAAACAAAATCAACTGCTTTCTGTTCATCTGCAGAGTGTAACTCTTTCATTCAATGTCACTCTTGCCTTTAAGTTAGCAAAAGGTGGCATCTCACCAGAACCAGCTTTTCCCATCATGAAGCATCCCTTACTTTAGGGATGTTTCTTAAATAAAGAGCAAATGTTCATAAGACAGGTCAGTATGAATTGCTCACTTCTGCTCTAGACACGGAATGATTCATAGTCAGCATTATGGGCCCAGCACAAGCTTGTGAACTAGACTGAACTATACCGCGCTGATTCGCTATAGTCGGTCAGGACAGAGACATGGTGAGAGTACCATGACCTCCTCCTCCATCGCTCTCATAGTCTCAGTGTTGACATTAGAGGCTCCACGGCTGCAAGAAATGAGCCTTCAAACTCCTGGTCTGAGAAGCGGGTGACGGACAGACGGGCCCGGCGTCGGATCTCTAACCGAGCTGCAGGAGTCATAGAAAGTATTCGTTCCATGGCGTCTGCATAGGTGTCTTCATCATCTGCCAGGAAGCCGGTTGGACCGCCATCATAGGGAACTACAATGTCCAACTTCGGACCACCGGATTTGTGAGCCAGAATGATTGTTCCTGCAGCCATACACTCCACTACACCTGCGGAGATATGGGAGAGGATGAGTGTTGTCAGTGTAACAGTCATTTAAATGCATTACTGTAGAGAAACAATGCTTCTCGCTTTTAAATAAAAGAAAGAAATAATTTAAATAAATGAAAATTAAACGTATATTAACCGTGTTACCGTTAGTTAATAAAAATGTTCATGTAACTAATGTTGACTGATACAACTCTTTACCTTAAAAATGTCTTAGTGAATGTTGAGATTAACATTAACTAAGATTACAAAATGCAGTTTCGTACTGTTTCAGCTATTGTGCATTGTTAGTTCAGGTTAACTAATAATGCTAACAAATGAAACCTTGAAAAGTGTTCCTAAAATAATTTCATTATAAGTTTCATTAATATCTGGTTGAAAATTAAAATATATGTACATTTAATACACTTACACTTATACAAAAATGTATTATTTAATTTATTATTTTGTTACTTGTTCCACGAAGTACATCTGTCTAGTGTTTTGAGAAAAAGCATGATATTTGTTATCTTACCAATACCGAAATGTTCATTCCACATTGTGTGCAACCCAATCGTGGCATCTGTTAAATCTTTCTTCAGTTCCTCAAACGGGATATTGAGTTTAAACTCCACCCTGTCTGCTACGCCCAGCTCCTGACACAATCCCCTCAGCATCAGTACCCTGTCTTCATCTTCCTGGTTACGACATCCACCAATCAACACCAGCTTCACGATCTCTCGACCGACAGGCTCCACCCCCTTCCTGTCCAGAAGTTTTCTAAAAGCCCTGATCTGCAGCTGATGGTCTTTTTCAGGCCGGAACTGACCCACCGAGACCACACAGTGACACCTCTTGCCTTCTTTCTCTTCATCCACTTCTCCAATAGGGATGTCCAAGAAGGCCTGAACGTCGCATGGTGGGTAGACCACATTCGTGCGGTTAGGAGCACGCCACAGTGCCAGAATGTGACCTAATGTCCAGGTGGAATTTACCATGACCACTTCACTACAGGAGCCGGCTAGACCATACAGCAGTGCGAAGACACAGTAGTAAATCACTTTGATGGCACTCAGTACAGGGTTACTGGAGATGTAGTCTGCATTATTGAACCTAGAATGCACAAATGTAATTACAAATTTATATAAGCCAATAATATACACTATCATTCACAACTTTTTTTTTGGGAAAAAAGTCTCTTCTACCCACCAAGGGTGCATTTATTTGATCAAAAATACAGTAAAAAAGTAATATTGTGAAATATTATATACCAAACAATTTACATGACTGTTCAAGTCGTTCCTAATTTACTGGATAAGGATTAAGGATAATGATTTTTATTTTTTGTACCACAATTTCAAACCGATAAAAATATTTTAGAGCTTTAGCATAATTATAAAAAATATATATAATTATTATACAAATGGGAATTTTAAGATTTTATTTGCATAGCTTTTCCAGGTCTAGAATAACACTTTGAAAATTAAGCTTCCTTTTAATACTTATTTTAAATAATGACATTTTATATTAAGGCCCTGTTGTAAGTTGGTTCAGAACT